AACAGATGTGGAGCTGTGCACACCTGGGGTCTGGGCAGAGAGAACAGATGTGGAGCTGCGCACACCTGGGCCTGGGCAGAGAGAACAGATGTGGAGCTGTGCACACCTGGGGTCTGGGCAGAGAGAACAGAGGTGGAGCTGTGCACACCTGGAGCCTGGGCAGAAGGACCAGTGGTGGGACTGTGCACAGCATCCTAGGAGCTGTGGATAGGATATCCCACCCAAGAGGAAGCAGTCCCAGGACTTCTGCAGAGATACTTTTATCAGTACCATGAACTAGCGATAGAAGGACCCAAAGGCTATCCCGACCAGCACACTATCAGAAGCCCCACCAAGCAGAGGAAGGCAAGGTGTAAGGGTAGAAGCCCTGAGAAATCCTGGAATGTCCTGAACTGCGTCTTTTGCTACTTCAATTGAGAGTTGAAGCCCTAACCCCAAAGTGACTGTATTTGGAGTCAAGTCATTTAGGGGGCAATTCAGGTTCAACGAGCACTTAGCAGTGAAGAAGAAGGACTTGATTTAGCAAGTAAAGTACTTGCTCTGTAGGATGAGGATCTGAGTTCAATCTCCAGGATCCACATAAAAGAAAAAAGGAAGGCCAGGTGTGGTGTTGCTTTTATCCTTGAACTAGAGAGGTGGGGATGGGTAGGATCCTGGGGCTCACTGGCTAGCCGAACTGACAAGCCCCCGGGTCAATGAGAGACCCCCACCTCCCCCATCACAAGAAACAAGGTAGGGAGTGACTGAGGAAGAAACCTGAGGTTGACCTCTGACCTTCACAGGGACACACATAGACACATGTGAGGTTGACCTCTGGCCTTCACATGGACACTCACATAGACACATGCATACACATGGACACACAGAGTGCTGGAGGCGAGATTCTGAATGTTCTCTTTTCCCAGGTGTATGCACCAAAGAGAGGCAGCTGAGCATACTACGAGCAGTCAGGAGGCCATCCCTAGGTGGGGGGAGCCTAGCCATGCTGCTACCCTGATGGCAAACTTCAGGCCTCCAGAACTGTGGGAGGAGAGGTTCTGTTGCTTACAGGGCCCAGTCTGTGGTGTCTGTTTCAGCACCCTGACTAGAACAGAGAGCTAGAGGAATTCTGTTTTGGGCGGCCCCTGGCATGCATCCCAGCAGATGCTGGCTGACCAAGTGATGGAACAGGAAGGTCCTGGTAGGTACAATATGAAGTGAGAGAGAAAGTTTCCATTTCAGGGTCAGGAAGGCTCCCATGGACACACAGGGCATTCCAGATCATAACCCAGCTACAGACAACTCATGTTTGAGCTTTTGCCCTGGCCAGGGCTCAGGGTCACTGGCCCACTGATTAGGGTAGAGCAAAGACTACAGATCTTGGCTTCCAGAAGTGGCAATGCTGCTCCTCCTCCCTGGGAGACCACACCCTAGCTTCTGGGGTCCGGGAAGAGGAGCGGGTAGAGGGAACCAGCATCAATAAGGTGGGCCCAGGCTATAGGGAGGCTTGGGAACTACTACTCTAGCTTTTGGATGGTCAAGGTAGGGCCTCTGCCCCTGTTCTGGATAGCTAAAGTGAGGGAAACAGGGCATGTGTGGCCGGCCTTTGGGCTCCCTTAGGCTATAGTGGACAAAGTAGAATTTTCTTGGGTCATACATTAAATTCCAGGGATGTCCAACTTAGAGCCCCATGGGTTATATAACACCACCACCACTACCACTACACAGACACACAGACACGTACTCACGCACACAGACACACAGACACACACACACACACACACACACACAGAGTTTTTTATTTTTGTGACACCTCAACACAATGCTGTTATCTATAAAATTCATGATTGAGAACTGCCCAGTTTTAAAAAAAAAGTCTTGATGTTTTAGGTAGGTAGATTTTGTGATGGCTGCATTCACAGCTAGCCTGGGCTACATTCAGGTTGAACACACATGATAGAAAACACATCCCGTAGTCATCTCCTCAGATTTGCCTGACAAGCCTGGAAGCTCCTAGGGAAGAGTCCCAACTGCAGTCCTAAGGCCAGAACAGAGCCTCGTGCCCAGATGTTGACTGACGAGAAGAATAACTGAGAACTGTCTGTAGCCCCGTGCCTGGCATGCAATAGGTACACAGTATGGGCCATTCTCTTCCTTGGATCTTCAAAACTGAGGCAAGCCCAGTCCACAGGGGTTTCCAAGCCTGTGACTTTTCTAGAACACTGCCCGTGGTCTAATCAGGGTGGATGGAAGCTGCATACAGCACTTGCTATGTGGACAGAGCATGTTGCAGTCCACATGAGTTCTTTGGAGTGCTTACTGTGCGCTAGACCATACAAGACCTGATGATATTACGATATGAACTGCTTAGGACACAAGTGCCAGCACTCTACTGTGTGGATGAGGAGTAGGGGGTCAGGGAAGTGAGAAGCTGGCCTAGGGTCAGTGCTGTAGAAGGTGGGACTGAAATTCAAATCTAGGACACTGGACTCCAGAGCTTACCCTCAATCCTGCCTGAAATAGCACAAAAGCATCAGCATGGGCATGGGTTGCACCAATCTCTCCAGCCTTGATATAGCCACATTGTTTCCAAGCTGGTCCCAGGGACAGCTTCTTCCCTTTTCAAAGACCCCAGTCCCTTGCATTCCTAAAGGTGGGGAGAGCAGCAGCCTCATGGACCCCCAGGGGACATCTCAGAGCTACCACAGGCCCTAGGCCTGTGAAACCAGCAGAGCTGGACTGAAAGGAGGCCAAGGAGGTCCAGAACTGAGGTCCTGGGTGTGGTATTCACTGGCCTCCTCTACCTTCCTGTGAACCTTGACCTCTGCCTTCCCTAGCCACACCTAGAGGGACAACCACCACCCTGTACTGTTTCCATGGTTACTCTGCTCCCAGGGAGGAGGAAGAGGGACTATAGTTTCCATGGCAACCCTGTCAACACCTCTGCTACACAAAGGGAGCTTCCCCTGGATATGGGAAGCAGGCTAGATCCTGAGCAGGGAGCCAGCACTAAGGGGAAGCTGAGGAAGTTGTTGTTCTTGGCTAGGTCAAGGCCACACCCAAGGACATCCTGGAACCAAGAAGAAGGTGGGCCAATAACAGAGGAAGGCCAGAACTCCCCAAAGGGTTCAGGGAGGATTCACAAGGCATTCACCTAGGAGGCAGTTGGGGGTATCTCTTGAATTAGTACTATCCTATGTAGTGACCTACCTAGAGACCCCCACAGCTGTACCCCTGAAGTGGCCTAGATATGGATGTAGGAGAGAGGGGGCAAATCCTAGGGGCTCCTCCATTTACTCTGGCCACATTCGAGGCTGGGAGTCATCCTTCCAAGGGGCTGCCTGACTTTACAGGGTAAGAGCTGACCCTCATGTGTTTCTCTTGTAGCCTCCTGGACATCTTGGGACCAGGAAGTCAATGAAGTGGCCAGTGGGGAGTAGTAGAGGGAAGCACAGAGCTGCCCATACATCCGTCTCAGAGTTGGAGACCAGTGCTTATGATTCTGGGCAGCACCTAGGGCAGCAGGAACTTCATGGAAGGCTGAGTACAGTGAACACAGGGTGGGTTCTAGATTCTCTCACAGGCAAACTCTTGAATTTGCTCACTCAATAGGTTTCCAAGTGTGCAGATATGGTGCTGGGATACAGAAGTAAGTCAAATAGACAAAGATGCCTGCCCCAAGGGAACTGATAGTTTAATGGAGAGAGACACACAAGATAAAAACTTAAATAAAGTATTTATAATGAGGTGACCTGGGAAGACCATACTGATATGGTGACACCAGAGCAGAAGCGAGGGAGCAAGCCATGTGGATAACCGAGGCAGGTGCATTCCTGCAAGGGCAGTGCGAAAGTACCAAGGTAGGAACATGAGTGGTGTGCCTGAGGAACGGCAGTGACAATGCTAGTGTGACTGGAGCCGAGGGGACCGGAGAGGAAAGAGCAGGCAAATTCAGCAAGGACTCAGCAGTTGGATGCCCCTAGGTCTGTAGGGCAGACTCCAAGAGATATAGGAGAATGATCGAGGACCTGAGGCAGCCTGTGGTTTGACCTGGCTTCTTTACAGGCGTGCATCCAGAGGTGTCCATTAGTAGCAGTTTCACCTTAGACTATCCTATCTACAAGTGAGGTCATACGTGGACAAAAGTGTCCTGCTCATGAAAGCGAAGGGCAGAAGTGTAAGGAGGTCCACAGAGAGCACAGAGGTGGTTCAGTGGACAAACGTGCTTGCTATGCAAACAAAAAGACCGAAGTTCAAATCTCCAGCACTTACATAAAAAGCCAGGTGCAGCTGTATGGGTTTATAACCCCAGCACTGTGGAAGGCAGAGACAGGAAGATCTCTTGGGCTTCCTGGCCACCAGCCTAGCCCCAGATTCAGTGACAGACCCTATCTCAAAGGAATAAGATGGAGAGTAACACCTGATGCCACCTTCTTTGGACCCTGCATCAGTACGTGGGTCCATGTAACAACCCCCCTGATTCTGGGTCTATACCCTTGCCACTAGTATCCATAGAAGTAGTATTACTGGTTGTTGCTTTTTTTTTATTGTAAGACAGACCAGCTGCCCAGAGCATTCAAGTGTGTTCTCTAGGAGTTACCAGTGCTTCCTGTAGGCCAGATGGCCTCTCTCTGGCCCTCAGGCTGCAACCATGTTCAGCGATGTTGTATCTAACCAGCTCTTCCCTGGAATACTGACAGTATCCTTATCCAGTGCCTTAGGGCACCCTGGTGACCTAATCTCGGTCCTCTCTACCAGTTCTCTTCCACTCCAGGATCAGGGCCTCCATCCTGAAGACCCAGGCATGGTTCCAAAGGTACCCACAGAAGCATGGCTAGAAGACCAGCACCCCCAGACTCACCAGGCATTGAGAAGGGGGACAGGAAGACCGTCTCTACTGACTCTGGTTCTGGGGGTGGTGGCTGTGGCGGCGGCTGCTGCTCTTGGCCCTGCTGTGGGTCTTCAGGGTTCTCCCCAGGGACATTTCCGTTCTCCATGTTCTCATGTTTCCCATTTTGCAGTGGCTTGCTATTAACACCATTGGCCGAATTGATCAACCTCTGTCGCTGTGGGACAGGAGGCAAGACAGACACCAAGCTGAGTGATACAGAACCATGCATTGTCTTCTGTCTTACAATCCCCCCTTTTAACAACAGCCATTGGTTGCCTCCAATCCTTGCTAAACCTTGCTGTAGTTGGTCCTTCCCACTTGACCCACTCTGGGTGTGTGCTAGTATAGAATTCAACTTCAGTCAGCCCATCTCCAACAACCAAAGCTCCAAACATCTTACAAGGTTTTCGGTCAATGGATTGTCCTTCTGAGTTTCAGTTTATGTTTGATGAGTGTGTTCTCCAAAGCCAGCAGCTTCCACCACACCCATCCCCACCCTTTGACATGGCTAAAGACAAAAGCATCTTTGGAGCCACCCTAGCCTAGCTGGTTTTGTGCAGTCCATGGCTTCTTTGAACATAGGCATGAACAGAAGGCATATTGAATGAAATCAACAGGGCTGAGGACATGGCTCAGTGGGTAGACTATTTGCTTAGCATGCTTGAAGGCCTGGGTTTGAACTCCACACTTAATACATGAGGCCTGGTGGCAAATGCCTGGAGCCCCAGCACTTGGAGACTGGAGGCAGGAGGGCAGTATGATCATAATCAGGGATTGTGCTTGACTACTTAGTGTAGTTGAAGAACAATTTGTGCTATAAGAAACCCCATGGCCTCACATTCTCTGGACCCTATCCCTGTTCAGCTCTCTTCACCTGTTCCCTTATGGGTCAGCCCCATGGGTCATGGGCATTCCACAGTAGCATTCAAATCCTTCCCTACCAATTCAACAGGAGACTCGGGGACGGAGATAATGGTTTTCAACAAACTTCCATAATGGGGTCAGCACCCATCCTGGTGGTCTCATGGAAGGGGGGCATTGCCACTCATAACAAAGGCTCACCCTTGCTCTAAAGATTGCTGAGCTGTCTTCACGTAGGCTAGAGACAAAGACTCCTAAGCCAGGAAAAGTATGGTGCATGTGTGTGCATGCATGTGTGTGTGTGGGGGATGGATACATGTGTGTATGTGTTGGGATGAGGGGTACTTTTCAACTTTTTTTTTTTTTTTTTTTTTTTTTAAAAACAGTCCTTAACACGGTCCACCAAAAAGAGCAAAGGGACCTTTGCCTGATCGTCAGGCCTAAACACTCAGTATTTGGTTAGTTAGCTGGGATTAGATGAAAATCCGTCCATGAAATCCCAAACAAACAAAAACAAATATAAAAAGACCTATTTTTGCAGAGACAGAATATAAAGGCAGGGCCATTGCTCCACGGTAGGATGAAGGTAAAGACTGTAGAGGGTTGCAGCTCCGGCTTCAGAGTCAACAGAGGATTACACCCTATCCCACACACATGTGCATACTTAAAAATGAAAATGAAAAACAATCTTTAAAATGACTGAGGAAATGAGACCACAGTGTCATATATATGCATACACACATATGCGAATGACTGTGTGTGTATTTGTGTGTTTACAAGAGCAAGGTTATGTACACATACAAATGCAGGTGCATATATGCAAGCACAAACATGTAGGTGTGCATGCAATGGGTGACCACTCATGGGTAGGACAATAGGTTAGCCTTAAGAGCTGTCTGCTGTTTCTATTTAAAGCAGAACCTCAGTGTTGGGATTGCAAGTACATGGCAATAGGCCCGGCTTTTAAAATGCAAGTTCTGAGGATTGAACTCGGGTCCCTATGCTTTCGAGACAAGCACCTTACTGACTGAGCTACTTCCTCAGAGTGTCTCAAGAAATAAGCCTGGATATTTTGTGGGTTTAGTTTTCCTCTGTTTCATCCTATGACGACTGTCTTTAAAGTCACTGCTTAGGCCCCAGGCGCAACCCTCCAATGCATGTGGATGAAATCTTGAAAGCGGGAAGCACCCTGTCCAGGAACCTCAGACAGGAGCTGAGACCAAGGAGACAGAGATCTAGTGGTGGGTGTGGGATTAGGACTCACTTCCTTTCTCCGGAGCCCAGACTCTGTGGCTCTCAGGCTCCCTTACAGAGCAGGGCAACCCCAGCAGTGAAAACACTTGTGATACCAACTACTTGTATTTACCAGCTCATCAAAACCTGCCACTCCGGCCTGGTGTGGTGCACATAACTGTAAGCCCAGTGCAAGGAAGTTGAGGCAGGAGGATCTTGAGTTCCAGGCCAGCCTGAAATGCACCATGAAGTCAAGACCAGCCTAGCTTTCTCAAACAAATAAACAACTTCAAACCTATGTGTGATAAAAGACACTATAAAGTCATTGCCCCCAATCTTCTGGAGTTATTTACCACACTCCCCACAGCACAGGATTCTCATGCTTCTGACAAATGGGCAAGATTCTATAAAAGGTCCCTGAAATGAATTTCACAAATATAGACCAGAATGACTTAAAGTCCAGAAAGGCATACCCCTTGCTTTCTACCCGTACGACACATTGAACCATAAATCAAAGCGTAAGTGTCCCAAAGAGACAACCTTTAGTCTCTGGGGAATAATGCTTTTGCAGACACCTGTGTGCTAAGTTTCACTGTCTTGGTCCTCTGGCCACTGCATGCTTCAGAGAATAAAGCCAGCAAGATCTGGAATGCACTTAGAAAGCAAGGCTTGGAAACAGGTTAAGCTGCTGAGCGATGTACCATGTTATCTTTGCAGTCTGGTTGAGTGCTAGCCAAGTTCTGACTACTGTTTCCAAATGAGGAGACACTCAGAACACAAAGTGTGAAGAACAAATCCTCAGAGGTCACCTTCATTCATCAGTTTGGTGGTTTGAAGGTAAATGGCCCCCATAGACTCATATGTTTGAATGCTTGGTCCCCAACTAGTAGAATTGCTTGGGAAGAATTAGGAGGTGTGGCTTTGTGGCAGGAGGTGTGTCACTGGGGGTGGGCTTTGGTCTCAAGAATGTATAAGTCTTAAAAGTGTTGGGTGGGTGAGGGGCTTTGGAGCTGGTCCCCCCCAAAAGTTGTTTAATCCCCTGTTGATTTAGAAAGAAATCTGCCTCCAGGAGTTCCTTCCCCCTTGTGCTGTGACTTGTGACCCATGGCAAAAAGATAAAAATGGTTGTTTAAAAAGTTCACACCAGACCAAGTCTGTATCCATCTGTCTGTCTGTCTCCCTCCTTCTGTCCGGTACCTTCCCTATCCCTCCCTGCAACTTGTGGATCGGATGTGAGCTCTCAGCTCCTTCTCTAGCATCATGCCTGCTTGCTGTCTGCCACGCTCCCTACCAGGATGATGGATTAATCTTCTGAAACTGTAAGCAAGCTCCCTATTAAAGGCTTCCTTTTATAAATTGCCTTGGTCATGGTGAACGGCAACAGAACACTAAGACAACTGGCGATTCTTCAAGGGTCATGATCCACAGAGAATGGGAGTGTGTTCATGCTTGGTTCTCTAATTAACACTGTGAAGAAACCACCCATACTGCAGGTTCCCCTTTCTCTAATTAGTTCAGCTCTAGCAACTGACAAATAGTGAAATAGCTTAGGCGTGGGGTTCCACCTTCTGCTTCAGCTTCCATGACAAGCCTCTGCAGGCCCCCCACCCTCCTTCCTCCCATGCCTGAAACTCCAGGAAGAGTCCTAAGGGGATAGAGCCTGTGTAACTACCAGACCCACCCAAGGCTATTCACTTTCTGCTAGCCAGTGTACCCAGCCTTTCTGACATGCAACATGGTCTTGTCATCCGCAAAGTTCATGCTTAAGAAGCACGTAATTGAGTTAAAAAAAAAAAATCGTGTTTTAGGCAAGGTTACAAGTTTGTGTTGGGTGGCGTTCATAGCTACTCTTCACCACATGCAGTCCGAGGGTTACAGGTTGTAGCCGTGTGTTTAGTTAACTTACCTCATTAATTATGATCCTGCTGGCCATCCGTAGTCGGGTCCTGGGCCCAAACTTGTTGGTGATCATGATGCGTAGGCCGGCCTCCGGGAAGGTGAACTTGGGAGGACTAGAGCTCAGAATCTCATCCACCATCACCACTGGGGTCTTGCTGTAGGGAGGTTTCTCCTTCACTGTAGACCACAGCTCATGATCAGTGTTGACTCCTTAGAGGACAGTGCTCTAGTGATAGGGACTAACTTCCCCTCATGGCCAACAGCTTGGGGGCAATGCTTGGTAGCTGGCAGCTACTCTGAGGTCAGAGACCTAGCTTCAGCATCTCCCTTCAAAGTGTGGCTTACTTCTGACATACCCATGACTCAGCAAGTTAGACAGGTTCAGCATGTGCCCTGCTACCCATGTGCTACACCTGGCTTCTCCATGGTTGGTGCCTGGCTCTCTCAGATCCCTCTCTTCTTGGGGATAGGGGTTCAGCCTTGACTAGCTGCAAGGGTCTTTCAAGTGTCTTGCCTAGGACTCACTGGGACAATCTGCCTGTGCCATAGACAGGTCCCTACATCTGTCACTCATAACCAAGTCAGGACCACTACCGCCACCTTGATTTTTGGACACTTGGATAAAACTTTCCAAGTCAATAAGGGTTTTTAGGAGTGGAAATGCTGGGAACAGAGGACAGTATCACATTAACCTTTCCTAGGAGCTCTGTCTTGAAGCGGGCCATCTTCACTGCTATTGGGGTGGCTGCTTTCAATTTTGTTTCCCAGGAGGCAAGCTGGGTGGGTGGTCAAAGATTTGGCTCCATGCATAATGCCTAGACCAGACATTAGGGGTCCTAGAGGGAGTCTGTTTATCTGAGGATATGCTGCCGTCTGGGCTCAGTGTCTTAGATGAACCCTGACATCCTCAATGTGGTTGGCTCCCCTCTCCAACTCTTTCTTTTCCCTTGGGAGACCGTACATAATCCCAGTCCTGTGCCTGTGTCCACAGGAGCTCGGCATGGCACTCCAAGCACCAGGGAAAGTAATCAAACCACTCACAAACACAGCACCCTTGAAGCAAGTAGCACGTCCCCTTGAAGGGGCTAAGAAGAGGTATGGTGTTCCTCTGCACCCGTTACCAGATCCCGTGGCGTCCCGCATGAAGAGTTGAGAGACCAAGGAGCAGGTCCAGAGGGCAAACTCATGCAGAAGTTAATGGTACAAAAACGCACAAAATGCACAGCAAACAGCCTCCCCCCTGCCCGGGCAAACGCACTCACAGACACTACACCCCACGCAGGCAGCAAGGCTCAGCAGACAGGAGGCAGGTGGATTAGAAACAGCCAGAGGCCCATGCGCCTGTCCAAGACGGACACCAACCTTCACAGAGGTGGACAGTGTGGGGCTTGGCTCATGGATTGTGTTTATTGCTTAAAAGCATGTGTTATGGCCAGGAGGAGAGCAGATTACTTACAATTTAGAAGAAGAGTTAAGGACACAGAGGCTGGCACAGATGGCCACAGGTGGGTTAGCGTGCGGCGGCAGAATCTGGGGGCAGAGCTCTTGCTGGTAGGGATGCCGGGGGGTTGCATGAAGGAGGGTGTTAGTAGCAGGCTCCTTCCACAGGGAGCCTCGATGCTCTGGGCTTCCAGAGGGAGGGGCCCCAGCAAACCCCTGTCGCAGATACTACACTCCATTCTGTAGAACCAGCCTCATTACAAGTACCCCATGGACAGACCTTGTTCTCAAAAGCTTGTGCAGCCTGTGAGGCAGGGGTCATGACACCTGGCTCTCTTGCCCACATCACATTCAAGCTAAGAGTGGTAGGCCAGAGGGTACTCAACCACAAGATGCTTTCCTGGCAATTCCATCCAAGGCCTGGTATTGCCCCTCCTGTCTCTTTCTAAACTTAGGTTGTGTCTAACTAACATCAGGGCAGCTTGGAAGGTCTCCTGGAGAGTTCTCTGAGCTAGATAAACTTCATCCAATATGACACCCGGTGGCCAGGTAGATTTGGCTGCAAGGCTGTGAACAGCGCCACCAGAGAAGCATCAGAAGGACTAAACATTGAGCTGAGCTACATGGTGTCTAAGAATATTTAAGTACAACAGGGCTTCTCCCTGCTTCTCCTACAAATAAGCTAAGCTTTAAGCTTTAGATTTTATATGAGAAATCTAGGGTTGGGGAGAGCAGTCTATTTCCTATTTATTCTTCCTAGAGGCTTGTGTGTGCTAATCAAGCACCCTACCATTGAGCTACAAGCCCAGCCCAAGGGACTCCTCGAAACGTCAGCAGGCAGTTCAGACACCCTTTTCAGTACCGTGACTAGTGAGCCACCTGCCAGGAGGCTGAGGATGGGGGAAAGGATGTGATGTTGTCTCCTGCCATGGCAGCCTTGTCAGACAACCAAAGTGGGATGTCCTGGTCATCTCAGTCCTGGGTGTCACTGGGAGCTCTTCCTCCCACTCTACCCAGGGGAAATTATGCTGTGACAACTTGTCAGTGGCTCTAGGGAGTGTCTTCTGGGGATAGTAAAGACTGGATGCAGTCCCTGAGTTTACACATCTAGGTAGGTTCTCCAAACCCAGAAGTCAGAGCCTGTGCCTCATTATCCAACCTTCTGGGACCCTTTCCTCCCATTGCCTTTGCTATAAATGCATCTGTTTAATAAGGGGTAAGAGACTTATTTCTCTCTAAGTCCCAGTGTCTAGGCCAGCTCAGTGACCAGTCTTCCAACTTTTTAGAAGTTACCTTGGATGTGGAGGTGGTGGTATTAAACCCACGAAGCCCTACTGTCTCTGGGTTCAAAAGTGATGGAGAGTCACCACAGGGCTCCAGGAAAGGGCCCTGATTGTGGGCAGCAGGCTTGGGGAGCCTGAACTTCCTAGGAAAGTTAGAGCTGAGGATCTCACACACAGTGGCTCTCACAGGGCACTGGGGTTGGGCATCCACTGCCAAACTCAGGACAGGAGGAAGTGGGCACATCCTGACTCTCCACTCAGATCTTTCTTCTTTGCCACCCAGGTTTAAAGGACCTTCTGGTATTGCTTATGTGCTGAACAGGGCAGCCTCTCTCCTGCCAGGCTTTGGTATCTGCAATGGGTACCCCAGAGTCTCTGTGACTATGGAGGGCTAAATCCTAAACCATGGCCAATGTTGGAGCTTCCCCCTCAGTGAGCGGTGTCCCTCAACTTGCTCCCAGTGACGCTTGCTGGGACTTTATGAGACATGTATAATGCCTTCATCTCCATGATATGGGCTTCCTTGGGGCTGTCCCTCATGCGGGTGTCTTCAGGGGCAAGAGGGGGTTCCCCGAACTGAAACCCCTCTCCTGTCTCAATGGGTTTCTTCTTCCATATAGAAAGATGTGTCGCTCAGTAGAGCATCTGTGACAAGCACCTTCCTCTTGGGAAAATACAAGACATGGCGGGAGACTTGTGCAAAATGCATCTGAGACGAATCTTCTGCTTGCTCTGCCCAGGGTAGAGGCTACAGAGGGTCGAGGAACACAGGTTCCTTAGCCACCACTACAGACAAGAAGAACTTCTGAGACCACCCATTCCTGATACAACAAGCAAGCTAAAGACCCATAGGAAACGCTGAGACTTGCCTGGGGCACCGAGTAAAAGGGTGGAGGACACCTGGAGTGGACCAAGGATGCCACACAGCCCTGGACTTCCTTTTCCCAACACAAATACCATTCACAGATTTTAAAGCTGGTCTGGATGGGACAGCTGACCCATGTCGGGGGTGTTACCTGACAGCTGGATTATTAAGAATTGAGGATATTCCCAAAAAAGTAGCTCTCAAATCAAGACAATTCAAAGACTGTGACCAAGAAGATAGGGCCTGGCTCCAGAGGCCACCGGTTCTTAGAAAAAACTAGGGCAATGAAGCTATTTTCTTTCTTTTTTTTTTAAAATTGATTTTTATTGAGCTCTACATTTTTCTCTGCTCCCCTCCCTGCTTCCCACCTCTTCTTAAACTCTCTCCCAAGGTTCCCATGCTCCCAATTTACTCAGGAGAGCTTGTCTTTTTCTACTTCCCATGTAGATTAGATCCATGCATGTCTCCCTTAGAGTCCTTATTGTTGTCTAGGTTCAATGAAGCTATTTTCAACAATGGGCCTCCAAGCAGGCCTCTGGGATGGGATGGGCTGCTGTGAAGCTCCAAGGCTGCCCCTTTAGGCAAGTGTTCACAAGCCTAGGAGGTGACACTGTCCAGGATGAATTTCCCAGGGACATGGCCTGGCACTTGAGATGCACAGGGAGGCCCAGGTTTTTTACTACTTAAGCTTCCTATGCTGGGCTTTTCTTTTGGGCAACAACATTGCATGTCTAAAGTCAATCGGACTTCCCACCTGCCTCTGGAAGCATGGGGAAATTTCTATGATTTAGTTCATGTATTTTTTTTTTAAATGGGATTTCCCCCTTTGATCCTTTCTCATCTAAGTGAACTGTCGATCTGAGTAACATCTCAAACATGGGTCTCCTTTCCTCATTTGGGGTGTGCAGGACTAAAGGTTTATGGTGACAGTGTGTGTGTGTCCGCAGAGTGGCTCCCACAAGGGTCCACAGCTCCTGTCTGCTCAGCCTTACCTTGCCCCAGCAATGGCACAGAAGGGTCATCATAGCTACCATCATAGAGGTCATTACCATCTTCCAGCTCGTTGCTGACTGGGTTACCATTTGCAATGCTCTTTTGTTTGGTTGTGAAAAACGTCTGCATCTTCATATTGTACCTGTGAGTCAGGTAAGGCAGGAGGTCAGAGCAGTGGAGGGGGTCTCACCCGACCAGATGCATGGGGCACCAGGCATACAGTCACCGGTTGCTGGGCATAGATGGTAACCAGGAAGGCTGTCTAGCTGCGCTGAAGAGGTTTCTAGCAGGAATGTTGGGAGCATGTGCAGGCTGGAGGCACCTGTTTCTACTGGGCTATAGTGCCCTCCTCGGGGTGTCAGAGGCCTTACAGCCAAGGCATTTAATGCTTCTTAGAGCTTATCCTAATAATAGCAGTTCAGCCCAATCAACAGGACAGGCTCGAAGGTGGCATCACCACCACAACTTTTCCCTCCCCAGAAAGCAACTGTTGCTCAAGTGGGCTGCTTGGTGACCATCTGTCTCCCATGTCACTCAAGGCCAGTACAGCCATCCTCTGAGAGCCTCTCTGCTGCTGGCTGTTCACTAAAAAGCTGTCGATGGCAGTCACTAAAGAATATTCGAGCTGCTAGACACTTTAATTTTCCCATTTTAGAAAATATGATTTTGTGAGATAGTTATACAATATGATGTTTTATGTAAAGGTGAGGACTCTCATAACACCCATGGTGTTCTCTTTAATTACTTGAGAGAAGAGAAACCTGCATGCAGCTAGGCTCATGAATATTCATAAATAGTTATTTTTTGGTAGAATTACACATATGCACATATACATATGTACATAAACACACATGTATTATACACACATGCATATATGTAATTTATCACTATAGCTATTTCTTATGTTCTAAGAACTTTGGTGATATTGATTGTACTTATTATTATACAATCATCACTAATAATTCCCCAACTTTTTTTTTATCATCCCAATAGCAAGCCTGTCCCCATCACTCCAGCCTCTCACTGACCTCTAATCTATGTGACATGGACTTGATCCTTCGGGATACCTTGTGAACACTGAATTATATCTGACATTGGCCTTTTGGGAATGGCTGCTTCTATTTGGTGAGCTTTAAAAGGGTCATTCGTACTGAAGCATGTCAGAACTTCATCTTTGTGGCTGTCTAGTCTTCCTCAAGGGTAGTTTTAAGGTGATTTGGATTTAGGCAGCTTCCCAAGTGGCTCAAGGTTTTCCAACCCAGAATACACCCCCAGAATTATGAGTGGGGCTCTGTTGCCGGAATAAACAGTGACCTTGACAACTGGCATTTGATAAGGCCTGGGACAGAGGTTAAATTGATGAGCCTTGAGAATGGTATTGTTGCTAGACTTATTGAAACAGCAAAAGAGAGGTTATACCCTGGGGCAGAGGAGTTGCCCAGAGCAGGGAGGGACACGGGTGTTTTCTGGGGACTCATTTTTGGAAAGCAGTGTCTCTGTGCCGTACATCAGCCACCCAGTATTGTCCCCTAACCTGGGGAAGAACGACACCAGTGTCTGAGCCAGTTCCCCACTGTGGATGCCCTGACCATGTCCACTAGAGAATGAAGGTTGCCCCAAAGAAACTGAAAGGTGGGATGGAGGATATTCCCTGTTCTGAGCAAGGACATAAGTAGGATATGGAGGCAAGGGTACCTCCACGTCTCAGGGAAAGGGAGAGGCCACTTACTTCATGATAAGGATATAAAACACGTACAGTATGATGAGCACCAGGCCTTCCCACCTTGGAGAGATAAAGGAGAGTGTGGTTAGAGTGCAGGAGGCCATGGTACCCGCAGGCTGGGGCTGCACGGGTCAAGGCTAGTGGCAAGGTGGGGTAGCCTCGCTTTTCTGTCCCAGAGGTTCAGGTGGGTCACCCCAGCATAGGGTTGTTTATCATTGAGAGTTCTCTTGGTAACTGAGAGAAGGCTGGGTTTGGGTCTTCTCAATCATAGCAGTCTACAGGACTACAGAGAGCCCCACCCCCAGCTGTCACCCCCAGATGCCAAATCCCATGGCCTTAAGCCTTAAGAGAACCTAGGCCCACTCTCGAGTCTTGTCAGGGACCAGAAAGGCTATGGGAACAGGAAGACACAATCCCTGGGAAAGGGACATGGTGGGGCACAGAAGCCTTTTGGGCCATCCACCAGGTACAGTGTTGTATTGTCTTTCTGGAACATTCTTCTACTGCTGTCTTGTGGGTATAACTCAACCCCACAAACTATTGCGTGGAGAGTGGGGTTGCATCTGTGATCGCAAACTTGAGAAGCCACACCGTTTTTGCTTCTCTGACATACTGGGCATGGTCAGTCGTTTTGGGAGCTCATTCCTTGTTAACATGCAATTCATGAACTAGAAATGGACCTACAGATAATCTCAGTACAATCCATCCCAACCCATCCACAGCTGAAGACATGAGACCAGGTATGGCCTTTTAGCTAGGACTCTCTGGGTGCTGGGCATGACGTCACTCTTGTCAAGCAATTGCTGTTCTCAGTGGTCATCTGAGTGTGTTCTCAGAAGTTGCTCCCTGCAGGATGCAGATTCTGGTCTGGACGATGCCAATGACCAGGCAATTGTGTGGTATATGAACTGAGATGCCAACATACCCCAAGGTGTAGGATAGAAGAATCAACATATTCCTTTGAAGTTTGTACTTCATGAATCTCAATTTAAGAAAGTCAATTCCAAAAATAAAAAAATAAAAAATAAAGTTAACTCTTGTTTAGTGTCACAAGTATTTTCTTCTAAAATTATTTTTAAAAATGTGCTTGTTTTGATGTGTCTGCATGTGGTATGTATGTATGGACAAGTGCATTCGTACACATGAGTGCACACTCATATGCGTGTGGTATGTGGAGCCCAGAGGTCAACACTGGGGAGCTTCTCCCAGTCATTCTCCATCTTGTTGTTCGAGACAGGGTCTCTTACTGTAACTGGAGTGCACTGATTTGGGCAGACAGGATGGCAGAGCGACCCTGGGGATTCTCCTGCCTCTTCCTGCAGTGCTGGAATTAGGATGTACGTCCCTACACCTGGTTTTTTATGTGGATGCTGGGGATCTGAACTCAGGCCCTCAAGCTTGTGAGGCAGGCATTTGCCAGCCTCTTGATTTTTGTAGTAAAACCTCTACGTTCCCTGAGTTTGATTCCTCTACCAGTCACAAGGGAGGGGTCTGCATGACACGCCTTTGCCTTCGTGGCATCTGGGACTCTGTCCCTCCCTCACTGCCTTGCCAGGGCACCTCTGCTACCTATTCCTCCCAGAAACAAACCCATGACCAAACCCTTTCTCACTCTTGCTTATCTTTGTGTGAAGTAGGGTTGCCCTCATCAGTTTAGTTTTATGTGTATCTTGATAGTAGCCAGGCAGGAACCTTGGGGGAAATGATTCTGTCACTCTAATAGGACAAAGACAAGGCTGCTGGGAATGACAGCCCCATCATTTTCATAAGCTAGCAAATCTATGCTTGCAAAACTAAATATGAAAATGATTTGGCAACCTAACATACATAGATACTGGCAGTTAGCGACAAGAAAACAGTTAAAAACTTACCACACTATTTCCTCGTCGTATATGAACTGGAAAAGCAAAGGAAACAAAGGAATACACTGATTACAAGGGAAGCAGAGTACATGCCTGGATCTAACACACACTGGCCTTCGATCTCTGTATTTCCTAGTTGCTCCACCGTGGAAGGTGACCTTCCCTTAGTGGGAACCTACGGCAGCTCTGAGACGGTCGTAGTGGGAACCTACTGTAACTCCGAGATGTTCACTGGCTCAGTGTGGTCATCCCAAGTGAGGTGGCCTATGTTTTATTATAGCCTAGGTAGTCGCTGGGGTAGACCTGACAGGAGCTTCCCCTGCTATGAGAACAAAGTGGCTAAAATTGAAGAAAATTCAGGGTAGACACCTGTGCCTGCATGTATAACACACGTGTGTATGTGTAGCCTAGCGGCTAGTTTTCTTAAAAACAGAGAGTAACCCCTTTTGGAATTCCAAGGTCCAGCTGTGTAAACGAAGGCAGAGTGAGTGTGTGGAGGGGATAGATGGTAGAGGGACAATGATATAATTCAACAATAGGCTAATCTTAAGTGCCAACTTGCCTGGCTTCAGGGGTACCCAGGTACTTTGCAGAATAGTATTGCTGGTGTGTCTGTGAAGGTGTTCGTGGAAGGGACTAGCATTAGAATCAGTGGACTGAGAAGGAAAGAGCTAGCCTTACTCACTATGGGCGGACACCATCAAGTTAGCTGAGGACTCAGAGGAAAACGACCAGAGGATGTTAAATATGACCCCATTCCTTCTCCTTCCACGTTCAGCCTTTTAACTCTACAACTGATGCCAGTGCTGCCATGGATTCTCAAGCCTTTGGCCCAGGACTGGGCTATGTTACTGAGCTCCCTGGGTCTCTAGCTTGCAGGTGGCATGATCCAAGATCACTCGAGTTCATTCCCCAAAGCATTTCCATCCATCCATTCATCTGTCCTTCCATCCATCAGTCCATCTACCCATCTCTAAGTCTTTCCATTCACATCTGCCTGTCACTCCATCTACCAGCCTCCTATTGGTTCTTTTTTTTTTCTGTACATCCTACATAACATGCCTCCCATCCAGCATCTCTGGGACAAGACACACATGAAGGATGCTCTGTGGCCAAGGGAAGGGGTGGACTCTACAGCTCAATGTAGGAAGAGGTGGCAGGGATGCTCCCAACAGCCTGACCATGGAAACAAAAAGGTCCCTATATATGGTACCAGAAGAGGCTAGGGGCTATTGTCTGAACTTGGGTCTACCGTCTGTGGCAATGGGCAGCACACACAGGCCCTGCCTTAGGAAGTCACTTCAAGCTCCCTAGTCAGACATCATTGGGAGCCTTTTGGACCCATGACTCTGAGGAAGGCCACACAACAGAGGGAGAGTCTGAGATGCTTTTACAGGGACATTTTTAGCTTATAGAGCCCAAAGGAGGGCTACTGGCATTCATAGGCAATGACAGCAAGAATGTGAGAAGGACAAGAGACAGAGACTGCTACATTGTGAAGTTTTCTTCGTACTTGGGATAAGAAACATATAATAGATAAAATATATAGTAAATATGTTACAACAAGTATTCAGGCAGCAGAAAAACAGTGTCCTTGACTTTATTGTTCAAGCTCAAGTGTTTAAAGCGAATACTTAATTCACAACCAGGGAAATTTACTCTTATGAAGACCGAAGAGTGTTCCTTGGCCATTTTAGAGTTTTATGAGGAATAATTCATTATCTGGGGAGAGGGAGAGGGGCACCACCCCTGGGGTCAAGCCCCAAACGCTGGCACCAGCCTGCCTTTGCAGTGGAGGGCTGGCAGTTTCTGGGCCAGCAGCAGATGACATCATTGGATATTCCAGTGACTTCCTGCCAAAATGATTACCAAAAGAACGTCAGTCTCTTAAGAGTTATTTTTGCTGCCCATTTATGGTATGTTCAGGGTACTGTGGATTTATTTTTTTGAAATTTCACATAGGTATCTTGTTTCCCCCAAACCATGTCATTTTCTGGGTGTGGTGGGCAGTTTCTGAGCTGGCCTCAGTTGTTCTACTGACTATGTACTCCCCTTCTAAGCATGGAGGGGGGGGATGCTCACTTGCTGCTGGTCATTTCTAAGGTGGAAGGCACAGCCTTTCCGAAACCTGACCTCCTCACCTTTGCTGTGAGGGCACAGCTACCCTGTGGGATGGCCTGCTAGGCCTTGGTATCAGCTGACAACCACTAGGTATTCCTGAAGATGGGGCTCACCTGACTGTGTGTCCTGAGACACTTCTCTTCCTAGCTCAGCCACCCCCAGATTTCTCACTTGTGGGGTCAATGCTTGCTGTCTTAAGCTGGTTGGTTTGAGGAACTTTTTTTTTCTTTTTTCTGGACAGCATCTCATTATATAACAGACAAGACTGGCCTGGGACTTACATTCCTCTTGCTGTAGCTTCCCCAGTGCCACGCCTCTGACCTTTGACTGCAGTGCACCCTACTCCTGCCCAGCTTTGGAGGAATTTTGTTACAATGCAGTAGGTAATGAATATAAGGGTAGTCATACTCTTGGGTCTGGACAGATAGAAACGGTCACACATTTCCTTGAAATCCAGGTGTCACAGGCATCTGTCCTCATGCCGCACTGCAGAGACCAACACTGCCCCTCTATGGATGGCACCCACTTGATAGTGTGCTTCACTGTATGGACCACAATGTCACCCCAGCTCTTGGAGCCTGGGGGGTACGTTCCACACTAACAGACCCCAGGGGTCCTCTTTTGGCTCCTCTGCCTTTTTACCCCTTTTCTTGTCCCGGGCTCCCGGCTACCCTGCCAGCTGTGATGGTTTTGAGGAGGCCCCTCCTCCACTCTGCAGTGTCGCAGAACCCAGACAGTGGCTTCTTATTATTTACTGTGCACTACTACACACAGGCCCTTTCCTGCACATGCTGGGCTGGCCCATGACCACAGAGCTGCATCTTCTCATTTCTATAGTTTTCAATTCGTGATACAGTTCTCCCAAACTGCTGAAGATGGTCTTGACCACGGTCCTTCAGCCACAGTCTCCTGAGTATTTAGGTTTATTGCTCAGCCCGAAACCTGCTTCCTAGAAGTGGGTCTTAAGATGTAGGGTTGGAAGGGCCTCATGTGGGTCCATGCTTGAACTTCCATTGAATATTTTGTTTCGTGTAAGGATTTTAAGCATCAAAATGAGACTTAATCTCATTATGCAGGGACCAAGGCTGAGGTCTTTAGAGAGGAAGGTGCAGTGTGAGAAGCGGTGTGAGGGGCCAATACGAACAGAGAGAGGGGGTCAACACATTCCACTGTCGGTGTGGCAACCTCTCCTGCCATAGGGTCAAGAACAGGTAGGCGGGCACCTGTGCCTTCTTGGGGCCTCACACTCTGGTGTGAGGGCTGACTCACCGCTATGAGTACGACGACAGAGAGTGTGTAGTACACAGAGTCACGGCACACAGCCCACCATGTCAACCGCACCACCTGCCGGGTCAGAGAGGAGTCATCAGCTGCTGTTGCCAAGAGGCTGGGACCGGGCCAGCTGCCCAGAGAGAGGAAGGATGGGCCCAGGGCTGCTGCCCCAGCTACCGCTAGCTCTTGGCTACCGCTGGTGACATTAACAGAACCCAAGTCAAGTTCTCAGGTGTGGGGAAACCAGACAATGGCTTACTCCTCTGTGGGGGTGGCCAGGCACATTTCATAGCAAGAGCTGGCCCTTATGGCAGACACACGTGTGTGTGATGAACTATCAGCTGCCTGCCTACCTCTGCCACCCTGTAGGGCCTTGCCATGATTTTCTGCTGTGAGGCAAGCCTAACATTCTCTGACCTTGTGTCAGATGGGTTCTGACCACAGCTAGCCTTTTGTCTGTAGAGGAGGCAAGAAGCCCAGATGTCTCTAAGACCTCACTCCAACCACGGTCCAAGGAGATCCTCCTTAAACAGCTCTTGCTATTGCCTGAATGTCCACCATAAACTGGCCAGGTTCCTAAACACAGCTCTAGCCTTTCAGGTTCTCAAGCCATTAGAAGGGAAGGAGTGTTAAGGTCACTGTATAGGGGAGGACATGGGTTCGGAGGAGGACATAGATAAGTGACATGACCAGCCTCATCAGGGTGTCTCCATTGTTACCCCAACTATCTCAGGAGAAGTTCACTCCCATTCTACAGGGACTGGTTCAGCAGACAAAGAAAAAAAAACTCACTGACCTGTCCAGCAAAGAGTCCACACACTCCAATGATGCACAGAATGTTGAACACAGCAGAGCCTACAATTGTCCCCACACCAACATCTCCGTGGGTGATGAACACACCTGGAATGAGAAGGTGATAATGGCCAAGCCACAGTAGAGCTCTGGGATGCTCTACTGACCCTGACCCTCCCATGCACATATGTTTTGCCATTAAGTCAAATCAAGTGTATCGTCATCATGATCATCATTATCATATGTATGGTATGTGCATGTGTATGTGTGTATAAAATGACACATGTGTGGCAGTCAGAGGACAGTTTTCAGTAGTGGGCTCTCTCTTTGGGTTTAGGGGACTGAATTCAAGCCTTCAGGGTTGTCTGCCAGGAACTTTTACTGGCTGAGCCATCTCAATGACCAAAGCCCATGTTTTTAAATAACTTTATTGAGACATAATTAGCATAACTAGCGATGCAGTCTGGCAGTTTGGCAGAGCCACAAAATTTTACAACAAAGGTCATAATCTAATTTTAGAACATTTTTGTCTCCTAAGAGACCCAGTACCCATTAGAACCCCATACTCTAAGAAATCACTCGTCTACTCCCTGCCCCTCTGATGCCTTAGGTTTACAGGTAGGGAGGGGAAAGCGAGTCTCAGAGCTGGTAAACGTCCCATTGCACTAGGCAGCAAGCCCTGGTTCTCCCCGCACTGTGTCCTAGCTGCCTGATGTTCTTACCAATGACAGAAGCAAACAGCTCTGGTGTCGAGCTTCCAGCAGCCATGAAGGTGGCACCAGCCACATCTTCACTCAGATGAAGTTTCTGAAACAGAGAAGACACAGGCATCTGGGGTGTGGCAAGGGTGGGGTAGACACAGTGGCTGCGCTGGCTGGCAGCAGAAAGCTCTCGGTGGCACAGTGCTGGCCTCAGCCCAGCTCCGCCGCCATAGTCTCTCCTCCCAAAGAACAGACCCTATGCCCTCTGCCAGCCTTCAACTTCCCTTTCCCACCTGACCCATCTGTTTTCTCTTCCTTCTCCACACTCCCGGATTGCTGTCCACAACTCTTGAGAAAGTCTGCCCACATCTCCGGGGCCAGCCACACCCTCTCAGACCCCATCTGTTTTATCCTCGTTGAATCAGATTCTGTGATGAGGGTTTGCAGTACATGTGCTCCCCTTCTCCTCTGGACTATGAAGGTAGAGCTAGCGTTTGTCACTGTGGGTCCCTAGAGGTCAGGACAAGGTGGAGTACACAGTGGTGCCGAGCGAGGGTCTGGAAACTGTCCTGAGGCTGTGGGATCTGAACACCAATACATGCCTGGTTCCTACATTCTAGATGTTTCTCTGTGGCAAACCCAGCATCCAGACAGAGTCTCAGACATCCAGAGGGTCTGTCCCCAGGATTGAGCTGGCACAGGACAAGGAGAGGAGCTGCTCAGCAAGGCCATGTTTCAACCATGGAGGCCCAACTTCCAATCCAAAATGGAAGACAAGGGGCCCCTTGGTAACCCTAGGTGGTCTGGGCTCTTGAGCCCTGCGGGAAGGTTGGGGTCAGTTCCTCTGATCAGCTAGCTACAGAAGGGTCAGAGCTCTGGGGTTAACACAGACTAGGGACTAACTGCTCCCCACACCTACCCACTTCAATGCCGCCACTGGAAAAAGTCTGCAGAGGAGGCAGGCGCCCCACCAAGCATCTGCAGCCACTTCCCGCAGGATTGAGGCCATGCTGCCTGCTGTCCCTTCAGCCCCTGACCTTGGCCTATACCATTCTTCTTCCTAGAATCCTTTCCCCTCTGCTTGCTGAAATATTCCCTACCTCCCCAGCCTGGACAAATGTCAGCTCCTCTAAGAAGTCTTCCTAGGCCTCTCCTCAGCAGTGGCATTCCCTCCCTCTAGCTCTTTGCTATCAAAGGCCCTTAAAGGAGTACTAAGATCAACACCCTTATTCATCCCTCGGTCCTTATGGCCACAGTCGCCCCTAACAGCACCTAACACCCTCAAAGTTTGCAGCCCTAGCCTATTTTCCTTGGATTTCTCTCAACCCCAGAGAGCAAAAAGGCTCCAACCTACTGTTATGGTTTTCCAAAGCTATGGCCTAGGAGGACTGCGAATGTGTACTGAGTATACATTAGTCTGACACAAGGTATTTCCCCAAAGACTCCTGGCTTAAAGATTTGGCTCCCAGTGCAACAATGTTCAGAGCTGGGCTTTGAGAAGTGGCTGGATCACATGGGCCCTGACCTCATCAGTGGATCTGGATAAAGCTACTGATGGAGTCAAAGTTTTGATGCTGTTATCTGAAGGCACTGGAAAAGTTTGGAGGCGAGACCTAGAGAAAAATGTGGGTCACTAGGAGTGTGTTCTTGGGGTGATGATTTGTCTTCAACATTCATCTCTCTTCATCTCTGTTTCTGGCCACCATGAGGGGAGCAGCTTTGTTCCATCAACACTCCCTCTCCCATGGTGTCTGTCCCATCACAGCCTAGAAACAATGTAGCTAGCCAGAGTGTACTTAAACCCCTGTCATCATGAGTTAAGCAAGTGTGTTCTTCCTTAAATTATGATGTCAGCTATCTTTGCAGAGAAAAAGATCTAATTCATATTAAGCTAGGAGCCATGGCTGCATGTTTCCTAGGTGGAGGCAGCTTTCAGTCACAGCACCCATGTAAGGACCACTATCCCCCAACCTCTATCCTTAGGGTTCTGAGATAAAAATCCTCTGCACTAATCTCCCATGATCCAAGTGGGGGAGTCAGGGAAGGGGAAACCCAGAACACTTCTTCAAGCTCACAGGGGACCCAGGTTCTAAAGCAGCCATTCTTTACTGTGTGGTGACACAATGCTCCCCTGGTTGCACCAGAAACAAGCTGAACTGAAGGAAGGTATCTCTCCCCAAGAGCCATCTGTCCCCACCCTGACAATATGGCCGCAAAGAGCTGGGTGACTTCATAAGGTGAGGGGGTAGCAAATCCCCAAGGGGCTGCACATGGTAAGCACTGAGAACATAAGGTTTTTTTCCCTACTAGATTAGAAGCTTACAAGAAAGGCAGACCACAGAGGGAGCCCAGGGTCTTGTATAGGGAAAATGAATGAACAAAATGGATAGAGGGAGAACACGATGTAAATGGGGACAGAGAGGACTCCTGTCACCATGGCTTAGTGTTTGCCCAGGGGAGCACTTAGGCAACCCAGGTCCTCTCTGGGACTGCCATCTATGGTTTGTGGGAAATGTGCCAAAGCAGTCAGTCACAGGCTTGCCTGTTCCCTAGCTAGCCAGATTTGACTCACACCTCATGGCTTCTAGAACAGAGGTTCTCAACCTGTGGGTTGCAACCCCTCTGGGGTCCCATATCAGATATTTACATTACGATTCATAATAGTAGCAGAATTATAGTCATGAAGTGGCAGCAAAAAGAATTTTATGGTTGGGGTCACCGCAATATGAGGAGCTGTATTAAAGCATCAGAACGTTAGGAAGGCTGAGAACTACCGCTTCTAGGGTGTAATGGGCTGGAGGGTGACTTCACAGAGCCCATGGCTTCTGCTGAGCTTTAGGACAGGATGTCATCACTGACACTGACTCGGTGCAGCACTAGGTGGCTGTGGGATGGTCGTCTCTGCCAGAGTGCTTTCTGGCCTAGCCCAGCCTTCCTAACGTTCTGATGCTTGTCGGCTGTATGACAGGCGCTCCTAGTCGCCCAGGGCTTTGTGGAGGGTTCCAGGTCCTTTCCACGTACCTCACAGATCTTCTCTAGGGATGGGACAAAGAAGTCATCACACACGATGGCCAGGGCGTAGAACATGTAGAGAGCCTGCGAAGGGAAAGCTGGTTTCAGTGATGGCCCCTTAGACCCACACCAGGCCGCGGGCAGAAGCACAGATGAAGAGCCCCGGCAACCAAGAACTGTTCCTCCATATCCTCCTTGATAGACAAGGGATCCGAGGCCTAGCATGGGGCAACAGAGAGCTGAACTGCAGACTGTCATAAATCCAGGCCACACGGGCCTGTACTTTCTCCCAATGCTCTCACAGAGAACGAGATTCAGACCTGGAGCTGGGAAGGATGGCGCATGCCTACAGCGTCAGCCTGCAGGAAGCTAAGGCAGGAAGATAGCAAGTTCTAGGCCAGCCTGGGCTACATAGTGAGATCATATTTCAAAAAATAGTAAAGAGGAGCTGGGAAGATGGCTCAGTTGACAAAGTGCCTGCTGTGTAAACATAAGGAGCTGAGCCTAGATCCACAGCACCTCTGTAAAAAGTGGGTGCGGTGGCACATGCCTGGAACCCCAGCTCTGGGGAGATGGAAACAGGAGAACGCTCAGAGCTTGCTGAACAACCAGTCTAGCTGAATTGCTAAGCCCAGATGAGAGAAGCTATTTCAAAAAACAGGTTGAAACCCAATTGAGCAAAACACCAGATATAGAACTCTGGCCTCCATAAGCATGTATACATGTATACATAAACACATACATGACACAAAAGAGAGAGAGAGATGGATCTCATTTGAATGTAAAGGGGAGAAAGGGAGGGAGAGACCCACTAACACACACACATGAAGTTGGGGAAGGAGGGAGTCATATTTTAGCCTCTGAAGGTCAACTAGTCTCTGCTATATACTACTATCTCTGCACTTATAAAACCAAAGCAGCCCTGGAATGGGTGTGCACGTGTTCTAATAAAACTTTATTCATGAAAAATCAAATAATGGCCTGTGTTCCGTCCTCCAGTCTTAGCTTGGCAATTACTACTTTGAAGGGTTCTCGCCAAATTCCCAAGGTACTGATTCTCTGGTTCAACCATAAAGGTTTTGTTTGTGGGGCAGGGCCACAGAACCATGGGGAAAACCTGTCAAATTTACATCTCCTAGTAAAAGGGGATAGCATGTGAATGCCAGGATGTCTGAAAGATAATAACCCCATGCTAGAAATAATATGCAGGCCCACAGTTCAAAATCTGCCCACAATCCCCATTCCAGCCACCACTTTCATTAGTGGTTTATCATGCCAATCACAACTCCTTCGTCATCTCCTGGCCCTTGTTCTCCACCAGAGAATTAAATTACTTCTAGAAACAAGCTAGTGGCTCTGAGTTTAAATTTATAAGCAGACAGTACTGGGCAGCCCAATTGCTGAGCAGGAGGAAATTTGCTGGGGCTGATTTGAAGCAAAAAGAAACTGACCGTGACCAGCCTCACTTCCTGGCAACCATTCAGCGGAGTCTTCTGTTGGTTTCCACGAGGGCCAGAAAGCATTTTAGGCTCCAGAGACCACGTAACCTGATGCAGTTTTAGAGTCCTGCCACTGGAGCTCAAAAGCACCCACGGAAGCCTGGCAGTGGTGGCGCACACCTGTAATCCCAGCACTTGGGAGGGAGGAGCAGGTGGATCTCTGAGTTCGAGACCGCCACAGAGAGCACAGCAGTGAGCGAAGTGGCTGTCTTCCAATAAAGAACTTCACTTAAGAAGGGGCTGGCCAGAAGAGGGCGCCAGACCTCATTACAGATGGTTGTGAGCCACCATGTGGTTGCCAGGAATTGAACTCAGGACCTTTGGAAGAGCAGGCAAAGCTCTTAACCACTGAGCCATGCCGGGCGGTGGTGGCGCACACCTTTAATCCCAGCACTCAGGAGGCAGAGGCAGGTGGATCTTTGTGAGTTCGAGGCCAGCCTGTTCTACAAGAGCTAGTTCCAGAACAGGCTACAAAGCTACAGAGAAACCCTGTCTCGAAAAAACCAAAAAAAAAAAAAAAAAAAAAAAAAAAGAAGGGGCTGGGGCTGTAGCTCATTTAGTAGACTGCTTGCCTAGCACACACAAGAGGTTTATTCCTCAATACCACATAAATTGGACAAGGCGGCACACACCTATAATCCCAGCACTTGGGAGATGCATGTGGGAGGGTGCGTGGGTTGGGGGAGTGGATCAGAAGTTTTTGGTCAGCCTCAGCTACACAGTAGGCTTGAGGCTACCCTGGATATAGGTGATGCTATCTCAAACAAATGAACACATACATAAACAAATGAACAAATCTTTGCAAAAATAGGCAGGGAGCCGAAATCTGACTTGGTTTGTTCTGTCCAAGAACAGCAATTTACCTTTGAGCTTGACTTCCTCATTCCCATTTAAGTTGCTATTACTCTATTGTTTGCCATCAGAGTTTGTCTGACCTCGGAGAGGAGGGGTCTGTGGCCAGCACCCTGAACGGGCAGGATCTCATTTGAACGGGGGAACAAGAAATGTGGCGAGGAGATTGGAAAGCAAACACAGGAACCACGGCAGCAAGCACTTGCAGAGGACCCGCGTACCACACCATGTTCAATGTAGTTGACATCTAGTCTGATACAGGGCCATCACCCCTGTCTTATGAAACTAGAAAGTGAGGCACAGGAAAAGAACCACGTGTTTGTGCTGGGAGTGGAGACACTAGGTGACACTGGACACAGTCACCTGACACTTAAGAGAAGAGTCTTTTGGGGCAAGATAGCCTAATGTCTATTCTCTTCCCAAGCTGTTGCAAGGAGTAAATAAGAACTCAGACACTCCATGACAGTGGTTCTTAGCCTGTGGGGAGTGACCCTCTTGGGGGCTTACATATCAGTTCTTTACATTACGATTCACAACAGTAGCAAGATAACAGTTATGAAGTGGCAACAAAATACTCTTATGGTTGGGGGCCACCACAGCACGGGGAACTGTATTAAAATCTCACGGCCTTAGGAAGGTTGAGAACCACTGGTCTACTGTCATTATATACTATACAGATGCAGCTCCTACGTCAGAAAGTTAGTGGCTCCTGGCCCTTGAGGATACCTACACCGAGGATGTGTAGAAGGACAGCGCCGTGTTGTCGCTCTCTGTTGGAGAACAGGTCTGTGGGGAACTCGTGAATCGCTGGAAGAGAAGAGACAGCAGGGTGTTAGGTGGTAGTGCATCTTCTGCAAACCCACGGGAGACCCACAGTCTACCAAGGAGCTCAGGGGCCCCTGGCTTCAGGCTGACTGGCCAGCTAGACCTCAGTGTGGGGCAGACTGGAGCTTTTAGGAGAATTCTGGTTGCTGGATTAGCCACAGACATCCTGGTACTGATTGGGATTGAGCTCTGCCTTGTGTCTTGAAAGACTGTTTTAACGCACGTCACACACACACTAGGACAGCTGCAATTCAAAAGACAGACACACGGCTGGTGGAATGGCTTTAGGAGCTCTTCAGACACTGACACAATATGCCTACTGACACCCCGTCTGCCTCAGAATGCCCAAAGCCGACGGAGGAACGGTCCGTTCTCCCTTGGTATTATCTCATTCTGCTGGGAGGCTGGCGCAGTTGCCAGCCCTCGGGTATCTGGAAGGAGAGCTGGTTTACAGTAGACATGCAATAGACGTCCCAGACAGAAACGCTGCTCTGTAAATACGTGGCCCTAAGCTCATACGCTTAGAAGGAACGTTATAAAATCTCCCTTTTTAACATCAGATTCACTTGACAAGAACCGGAATCTGGCAGCTATCCAGCACCAGACAGCCTGCCCGTTCACTCTGAAGCAAGAAGTACTTAAAGAAAAATATCTTCATTCCCTTCTTTATATTTTTATTGTCTAATCAAACTTCTTATTAAAGAACTGCAGATACCATTTCAAGGGCCTGCGTCTGCTACTTGGCAATGGGGAATTGGGGAGGAAGAGACTGTCCCTGTGGCCAGGAGCCTGTTTCTGGAAGTGGAAACCTCTGGGGCTTCACAGCACAGACCTTACATGGTGGCTCTGCCGAGAGCCTTCAAGACATTTCCTGATTTTCAAGCCAATGTGAGGAAAGCTGCCGATTCACACACCCCTGGGGGCATCTTGAGAATGAGAGTAAACCTCTGCTTTATCTGAGGTGGAGGACATGTATCTGGCCTCCAGCCAGGATGGGGCTGTGAGTTACATAGATAGCTTTGTCCTGTTGCCTTCCCTGCACCCCCAAGTGCGTGCTGGAAGGCTGCAGGGTACAGTGACTGTCAACCAAAGCCTTAATTTTGGCAGCATATCAGTAGGTGACCTATAGCGCTCCCAGCAGCTATGGGCCCCTATTCTCCTGCCCACCCAAAGCTTTTCACACACTGAGATAATACGTGCTGAGCTATGCATGTACTAGCCTTAGATAGAGAAGTGTCTGGGCGAGAGAATCCAAGATTCTGGATTCAGGGACTCAGGATCATCTACTTCAGTGCTTTGAATAAGGAATGTCCCCCATTGGTCGTGGCATTTGAACCTGGGTCCCTGGTTGGTCGGTTTAGGTAGCTTTGGGAGGTGCAGTTTTGCTGGAGGAAGTACATCATGCCAGAAGGGCTTTGAGAATTTAAGCCCTGTCCCCTTCACTCTCAACTGCTTTATGCCTGTTGGTGAGATGCGATCTCTCTGCTTCCTGGCCACCATGCTGGCCTGCTGCCATGCGTTCCTGGTTATGATGGAGTCTCATCCCCCTTATCCGTCTGTAAGTCACCTTTCGTCATGATGTTTTGATACAGCAACAGAAAAGAAACCAACCCACCTACCCATGGGCCATGTGGTTACGTCACCTAACCTCGAAGGCCCTCTGCTTCTTCAGTGACAATTTACTGTGGAAAACAGTAGATTGGTGAATAGGTATGGCGCTCCTTGGCTTGGACACCAAAGGCTACAATGGGCAGAGGGCCATGCCACTCCTCCTAGTTGGCTACTGACTGAGACTAATCCACTCCCTGCTGCAGGATTGAACCCTTCAGAAGCTGGTATGGCACTAGTCAATCCCTGTAACCAAGAACAACTCTGATCTGCAGACATGTCCTGTGTTCAGGTGTCCACTGTCTTTCGAGGAGCTGGGCTGAGGTTTTGGAACACACTTCTGTCTCCTAGGACCTGTGTGACCTTAGCCAGCTGACGGCATCTCAGGGGCTGTTACCTTGTGTGTGTGATCCCAACAGACTGTGTATAAGACAGGTAGTACCCCTGATGACTTCACATCCCAGCACATTCTGTCTCCACGGCTGCAGGTGACGCGCAGCCTCAGCTTGTGAAAGTAAGAGAAACAGTAATGGCTTTGTGTGGGGGGGGGGGGGGGGGGTTAGAGCATAGATGGCCAGAGCAAGTCACGGACTGTACAGACACAGGAGAGCCTGCCTGCTGGAGCGGTGCCATCCCCGGTTCCCTTTCCGAGGCTTGCCAGGATGAGGAGAACCCAGACCATGTTGAAGTGTGTGAGGCTTGCAAGTCTGAGAGGGTTCACTGTACCCACAATGCTCAGATCCGCCACAGGGAGGAGGGAGGGATCAGCAGGACACACACATGACTTTTGAGGTCACACCTAAGCTTTTAAGCTGCAGAAATCCCTGGTGGCAGGTGTGGGGGGAGGAGAGATTTGACTGCAGGCCCTGCAGCAGGCTCCGAAGCTCAGGGAAGTAGGACGATGCCAGCATCCTCCAGAGCCCAGGAAGAGGGAGTTAGGGAGCAAGCATGATGAAAGGAAGTCTCCCCTGAAGGACTAGTCTATCGCTCCTGATTCTGGACATACTCAGGCATCCTTATACACAGTATCTACCTGTTTTGCTTTCTGCTTTGACATGTATGCAAGACCCAGGACATTTAGGGAGATCTTTCCTGCTACCTACCTCTATGAGCACTGAAGGGCAAACCCTATGGACCCTGGGTCTATTAGTACCTACAATTCCTTCAGCACCTACAAACTGCCACTTTAAGTCCCCAAGAACACTTTAGCAATGTTGTGGACACAGAAAGCTGCATGGTGCTTGTCCTTCCCAAGATACATTTTTGCCAGTGGTGTTGCTCATTAGAATGTATGAATGTGGGCATTTCCAGAGCCCCCATTCAGAGAACCCATACTCTGGGAACTGGTGAATAATATTCTGTGCATCTGGAGCCTCCCTGAGTACAGCAGCTGCATCTTGGAGGGTGACCCTACATTCAGAGACCACCAAAGCTATTGAGAAAGCAGAAGTCTATTAACGTGTGAATACCCCTATCCTGACAGAGTAGGAGTTAACACTTGTACCCTGAGTGTTTACTCTACACCAAATACTAAGCAGGATAGTGAATCTCAGGCACAGTGCATGGGACAAGTTAACAACAGACTGTCTAAGGGTTTCTATTGCTGTGAAGAGACACCATGACCATGCCAACTGCTATAAAGGAAACCATTTAATTGGCTTACTTATGGTTGCAGAGGTTTAGTCCACTACTGTCATGGCTGGAAGCACGGCAGTGTGCAGGCAGACATGGTGCTGGAGAGGTAGCTGAGAGTTCTACATCTTGATCAGCAGGCAACAGGAAATGAACTGTCTAATACACTGGGCATAGCTTGAGCATATGAGACCTCAAAGTCTGCCTCCCCCCACATAGTGGCACACTTCCTCCAATAAGGTCATACTCCTAACAGTGCCACTTCCTATAGGCTAAGTGTTCAAACACATGAGTCCATGGGAGCCATACCTATTTAAACCACTACACTGAGCAATGGTGAAAGGCCTCTGGGACAGTGACCAAAGGACTGAGCAAACCACCACTGACTTGGGGGAAGGGAGGACATAAAATGAATCCACAGAAAGAAGGGCACCCATGTCAAGGCCGGAAGCTCGCATTGCCAACTTTTCAAAGCCTTAATCTCCCAGACAGTCCCAAGAAGCTCATCATTCCCCCTTCTGACTCTTCAAGTGTAAAGGAGTCAGCTGCAATCATACAGCTACAACAGGGGAAGGTGAAGAGGCCAAGACAAAGCTCAGTACCTGACTTTCCTCAGCTGAGCATCTTACCTACAACAGCCAAGGCCTCTTATCTGAGGGGCAGGCTCCATTTTCCTGGGGTCTCAAATGGCCATGACAAGAGACTGAGCTCCTGGAAAGAGGATTTTACCTGGCATCTCACTGGTCAAGCTCCATGGATCTAGGGGAAACCCAGCATGGGTAGTCCTCAGTCTCCTCAGAACATTTGATAGATCTGACTGCTTCTCAAGCTGGGGAGATGGCTCAGTGGGGAAGTATTATTGTACAAAGAGGACCTGAGTTCAAGTTTCCAGAACCCACGTGAAAGGTGAGATATGACAGAGTATGACTATAATCCCAGCATGGAGAGAGGTAGATCTCTGGGGTTTGCAGGCCAGCTAGATTAGCTATCATGGTGACTTTCATGTTCAGTAAGAGACTATGTCTCGAAAAAGCAAGGCGGAGGGCTAGAGAGATAGCTCAGTAGTTAAGAGCATAGACTGCTTTTCCAGAGGAGCTGGGTGTGATCCAAGCCCCTATGTTGCACTCAACCATCTGTAACTACAGTTCCAGAGGACCTCCATGAGCACCAGGCATACACATGATGTGAAGACATGCATGTAGGCAAAACACCCACCAACCCATGTTAAAAAAAATAAATCTTAAAAGATAAACAAGGCAGAAATCAATTAAGTAAGATATATATGCATGTGTCATCAACCCATCCCTCCATCTGTCATTCATCTACCTGCCCATCCACCCACTCATCCATCTCTTCATCCATCCACCCATCTACCTATCCATCTGTCATCAATCATCCATCTATCCATCCACCTGTCATCCATTCACCCACCCACCTGTCACCCATCCACCCATCCATCTGTCATTCATCTACCTGCCTGTCCACCCACTCATCCATCTCTTCATCCATCTACCCATCCATCCACTCATCCATCCATCCAACCATCCATCCATCATCCATCTCTTCATTTATCTACTCATCTCTCCATCTATCCATTCAGCCATCCATCCATTCATCTATCTATCCACCCACCCACCCATCTATCCATCCACCCATCCACCCATCCACCCATCCACCCATCCATCCATCCATCCACCCATCCACCCATCCACCCATCCACCCATCCATCCATCCATCCATCC